GAGATGAAATTAAACAAGTTGGATGAGCTGTTAACATTTGTCGCACCGCTCTAATGTGGGTTAGAAATCGTAACGCTGCCCCGTCACCGCTCTCTCTCTCTCTGCTTAGGGGGGGATTCTACGATGAGTCATGCCATAGAGACGTCAACGATGGTCTGGCCGCCGCTTATCAGGGAATACGAAACGAAAACCGGGAACTGGAAACTGGCAACGAACTGAAGACGTCACTGTTCTTAAAGAAAGCCCTCACCGATAAGGATATATTGGGGGGAGGGCAAGAAAACACGTCATAGCCATCGAAGTGACATTGCCTGATCAGTGACTAGCGATACGGTACACGCGGGGATGGGTTCAATGTACAGGTACAGTGGGGGCCACACCTGTTGCCCAAACTACTACAATAAAACGAACCTGCGGCGCAATAAAGCAACAGAAGCTGCCGCCGAAGCTGAACATCAGCAGCAACAACAAAAGAAGGCAGAAATCACGCTACGATCATAAACGCAAAACGTGCTAAATAAAGCAACAACAGCCCGTAAGGAAGAGAAGACTAGGTTGAGTGGGTCGAGTTTTGAATACCCTTTAAGCTGCATTTAATGGACAAAATCAAGAAAAAAAAGTATTTTCACGAGTTATATTCTGTTTGGAGCATGAAGAAAAAGATTCTGTGAACATTTTTAGCCAAAAACTCTTGGTAGGAGTTATTTTCAGCTGTGCGTTTCCAAGCTCTGCTCAAAAACATATCATACCTTCTGCTAGGGTATAAACAAAGAGAAGAATCCAGTGGGAAGTGCTAGGAAGTGCACTGAATGGGTTCCGGAAGGTGGGTGCGGGGGGATCTGCTGGAATGCCAGCAATTTCCCCTCAGCTGGTGAAGAAGACCGTGCAGATATAAATACGGACACGGATAGAGGAGGAGAGGAAGAAGCGAAATGAGGCCAAGGCAAGCAACGGACAGCAGCAGCAACAAAATCGACAGACAGTCGTGGTCGTGCGATTAAAAACGCCCACGGCGACTGCGGGGCGACTGCGGGCGACTGCGAGGCGACTTCTGTTCTTTTGGCGATTCTCAAACACAGTCCGTCCTGCTCTCTCTCTCTCTCTCTCTTGGGACTGCGTGTTTTGTTTTGGTTCTTAATATTCTTAATGGAAGGAGAGGAGGATGGATGCAGGCACTCAAGGTCTATTTTTATGAGGTGAGTCTTCTCAGATCAGACGAGTGGCCTATTGGTAACGGTAATACGTTCTGACAGTGTGTACAAAAGAGGAAGGAAAAATAACAGCTGATTGTCCCATTGCACAAAAACACACAAACTCCTCACAATTTAAACCCCATAATGTACAAATATATGCAAGTACAGTATATAAGTGCCTGAAGTTCACTGTACCCGTTACCTTAAAAGCGCCGCGTATTATTAACTCAAATATACAAATATATACATATGTATGTACATACATTTGTATCTGTAAAAACAGAAACAACAAAAACACTCGTACATCAAAAATGACTTAAAATCTCGCCACACGTCAATGGAATAAATGCAATGCAATCTCTGTACAAGTGTGCGTGCGACTGTATCTGTGTGTATTTGTGGAGACCGCTCCCAACAATTTGTATCCTCGTTTGGCTCCTTCTCGCTCGTCTCTCCCCTGGCTTGTGCTCCATAAACAATGAGAAATGTTGCATCCGCCTTTGTGGTTGTTGCTTTTGTTTTTGGGGATTTAAAAAAAAAATGTCATTAACATGTCAACGGGTCGCAAAAGTTCAGGAATGCTGTTGCTAAAATGTTTATGGAATTGGATTAATAAATGGCAATTGTTGAGAGGGGGGCTATATTTTTATTAATATTAATCAGAAACGAACACCCATATGCCACTTATTTCACTGTTGCCAAGCCGCAAAGCGCTAGAAGTCTTTACAAGAACGGTAGAGTTAATTATTCGCTCTCGCGATCCCTATCCCTATCCCTCCATCGCCATCACCCCCACCTGCAGAAAAGCTAACAAAAACAAGCACCAACAAAATATATGTGACGCCAGGGCGGGCACAAGGTGTATTTGTAAAGGGTGAGACATCCCCAGAATGCTCTCCTACCAAATGTTCCTATTTAGCATGGGTGCAAAAGAGCTTGATAGTGGGAGTGTCATTCCAACCGAAGGGGATGAACCTCCTCCACACCCCTATATCAATACCCCTTTGGGCGGGCAGAAAAGTCAATGATCGGCAGAGCGTCGCAGTCGCGATTCGGGTTTGTTGTTGCTGTTGTCATAATTAAACGCGACAAATAAAATTTGAAGGAAAAAAAGAGCCGCCGACGCCGACGCGGACGCAAACGTCGTCGCCGTCGCCAGGGCAGCACCAGGCAATAATACAACAAAGAGACAAACAATAAATTCTTCAATTAACATTCGCACAGGTAAAAAGCGTCGCGAGAGGGAGAGCAAGAGCAACGCAACGCGTGAGAGAGACAGAAACCGAGCAGAAGAAGAGCAAGTGAAACAGAGCGAGGCAGAGAGCGTGACGTGACTGCTGTCTCTCTGCATCCATGTGTGTCTATGTGTGTGTGTGTGTGCCAGGATCATTTGCATTTTCGTTTCGGCGTCGCAAGGTGTCGCATACAACAACAAAAAAAAGCTGATTAAAATGCATTTTGCAAAAACAAAAAAAACAACAAGAACGAAAAAGTGGGCACGTCGCGCATATTTGCTGTTGTTGCTGCTGCTGCATAGATTAAAAATCAGCAAAAAAAAAAAAAATAATGAAAAAGGAGAGGGAGAGCGCGGCGAGTCTCTCCTCTCGTATTCACAATTTGTATACCCTTGAAGAGCGTATTATGATTTTCACTCGATATTAACGATCAGATCAGTCAAATATAGACAATAGTTTTTTATCTAACCAAACATTGGACAATGCAGTATGTGATATATGTAAAATAGCTCGTTCGAATTTGATTCAAATCGGATCGAAAGAACGATAGATCATGTGTATATTTTTAGCTTCCATTGAACTTCAAGGGTATTAACATCTTCGGCCCCACGTAGCTGGCCTTACTTTCTTGCTTGTTGTTTTCTGGCTGTTCTACATATTGTTTTTGTAGTTGGAGCTGGCTGACGCTGCTGCCGCGTGCCTCTTTGCATTAGTCATAGCAGCAGCGGCCGGCCAGGCAGAGCCCCGAGCACCAGACACCAGAAGACGGGACACACACATTGTGTACGCGCACGTTGCCGAGTGAGATCTATGCCAGCGGACAGAGCGGTTCACCTATATGCACAGCTATTAACCAATTGGCGCCAAATAGTAACGACAAACGCGAAAGGTGTTTTCTGGCTGGACATTGACGGGGGGCGACCACCCCAGACACGCGATTAGTCACAAGAGCGAGGCAGCAGCAGTGGCCAGAAAGAGCAGCCCGCAGAAAGAGAAACCGAATCGCGCCTCGTAATTATTTCTTTTTTTTTTTTTGACAATTTTTTGGGTTTTTGCAAGCCTGCCCGAGAGGCAGCTTTGAGCCCCAGAACCTGGCTGGCGTGAGAGAGCGACGGAGAGAGGGATAGAGAGAGAGAGCCCCACACCACCCCCACAGAGACCCCCAACGAAACAGCAGCAGCAGCAGCAGCAGCAGCGGAGTAACGAAACGATCGCGCGAAACACTTCGGCTGCCTGCTGGCCGAGCCCGAGCGTGTACGTGTGAGAGTGGAGTGTTAAGTGTGTGTGCGTGCCTGCCTTTGAGCGCAGGTTTATCAAAATTCGATTTTCATTTTCTGTTTTAATACAATTTTTGCCGTACTGCCGTGTGGAAGTGTGTGGGCCAAGGAGCAGCCAGAAAGCAGCTAAAGAAACGCGAACCACAACTGTAAAAAGAGTGCAGGAGAATTAAAAAAAAAAAAAAACAAAAACGTAATAATAATAATAACAAAAACGTGCAATACAAGTGAAAAAATAAGAAAAACAAAAGCATATTTTTAATAAAATAACAAACAAGCTGTGTCTCTGTTTCGAATTCGGTTTCGACTTTGCGCCTTTGTTTATAGCGAAAAAAATCACGTAATTTAATCCGCGAGTGCAGGAGAGGTGCAGGAGAGTTGTCTCGGCCAGCAGCAACCACCCCCGACCTGCTTGTGTATGGTGTGTGTGCTTACGCGTCGTTTACCGTTAACCAACCACTTGAACTGCACGTGCAGATCGACCCCGTCCAAGGCAGTGCAGTGGGCAGTGGGCGTGTGTAATAAAACCCCTTCTCCCCCCCTCGATCAGAAAAGAAAGAGAGAGCACATTTATCAGTGCGAAGAAAAAGGAGAAGAAGAGAGAGCAGGAGAATTGAGTCATCTTCGGACATGAGAAAGTGCACGGATTTATAGAGGCGGAAAACACATAACAAAAACAGACGTGTTCAGAATTTCACTTGTGATTTTTTAAATGTAATATTTAAGAAACTTTAAACAAATACAAAGTTAAATGTTTGAATTTAAAAATTTTAAAAATTCTGTAAAATTTGCTTAAAAATATATTTCTTATTTTTGTTCCATTTTAGAAGCGTCTTAAAAAGGCAAAAGTGCCAGAACACCGAGATATAGTTATTAACGAATACAATTAAACCCAAAAACGAGTTGCCAAAAATTAAATATAAATAAAAACAAACTAAAAATAACCTGTGGAGCGTGTAAATAAGATTAAAAATACATTAAAATGAAATCCAAAATAACAACTTAAGCTGAAGAATGCAACAAATAAAAATTACACAAAGATAAATCAAGCCAAAAATAAATAAAAAATATCAGTGGAAAAAATCACAAAAAACAAATAAACAAACAAACAGCAGACAAAGGAAGGAGAGGACAGGAAAGGAAAGGAAGGCAGGCAGGGCGGCTGAAATTGCAACAGACATTTTTGTGATAAACGCTGACAATTTGTTGCACGTTGAATGATTGCCATAAAGACCATCGAAATGCAGCACAACAACAGCAGTAGCAGCAGTGGCAGTGGCAGCGGCGGCAGTGGCAATGGCAATGGCAGCCATCTGCAGCAGCAGCAGCAGCAGCAACAGCAGCAAATGTTGCACCAACAGCAACAGTTTCAGAATGATTACGTTTGGGCCAATATCGGGAATATCAGTGGCAACAGCACCAACATCAGCAATGCACTGCAGCTGCAGCAACAGCGAGGCGCCTCCTGGATAGCCGAATGCAATAAACAGCGCCACATTACCAACAATAATAACAATATGAATGTCAATTACAATCAGCATTTGACGCAACAGCAACAACACAGCAACAACAGCAGCAGCAGCAGCAGTACATGCAACCATCGTACAACAACTACACGCAACTGCAACAGCAGCAACAACAACCGCAGCAACAACAACAGCTGGTGCCTGCAACAACATCGCAATCGAACAATTGCTACTATCCCTGCCTGCAACAGCAACAACATCAGCAGCAGCAGCAACAACATCAGCAGCAGCAGCAGCAGCAATTCCTTGCCCCCACCACCACCCCATCAGCTGTGGCAGCAACAGCAATTGCAGTCACACGGCAAGTGATACAAAGACATGTAAGTACAGACATACTCGTACGTATGCCCTTAGAATGCTAAAGATAAAGAGGAACAAACGAAAAGTTTCCAACAAAGAAAGCTGAAACCGAATATGCCGAATTATGCTAGCTTCTCTATTCAAATTATATGTTCTATATCAGTCGAAAGGTATTCTTTTGATATCTATGCTGAGTTGCTGATAGGTACTCCTTCTAGGCATATCTTGTATTCTGTAAATTTATGTGGGACTATATCTATTGGTGCAATGAATGTTTTCTTAGCGCTTTATCAAAAGTTTGCAGTGAATTTAAAAAAATTCTCTATAGGATTGGTTTATCGGATAGGAGCACAGCGGTGCATGTAGATTTCTTATATGTTCAAAATTCCTTGAAGTATCCCCTATATTTAGTGATGGATCTCTTCATAGCGGGAAAGAGTCCCCTGAGTCCCCTGAGTTCCTGAAGGGGAATAAAGTGAAAAAAGATTGGAACTACTAGCAAATGTGTTCCCTTCAAAGGAAGGAGCTATACGAGTTTACCAGGAATAATTGAGTCGAAACAATGAAAAACCACAAAATGTGTCACCCTCCCACAGGGAGGTATGCCGTTGCATACGCATTAGCATTTATTATATATGTATCTGTATTTTCCATCCCTCTTCCACCACTCGCTACATCTCTCTCTGCCTCTCATCTCTCATTTCTCGGCTTGAGAGCTCTTTGTGATTTGTTGTCGCCTTTCATTTTGCGGTTTTGTGGGCGGCGCTTGGCCACTCAAAGTGGAGTGTTCCCCACCTCCCCCCGCCTTGCTGTGGTTGCATCTTTATAATTGCGCCTTACTCGCAGTTGAGATTTCGTGAGAGCGGGAAGTCTCTGGGGGAAAAACTAAGGAAAATGGCGGACTCTTGTGGGGCGTATGGTTGATGTGGTGTGACATATGTACATCACGTATACGACATGTAGTTGTATTCGGAGGAATAGAATAGAGAGGATTGCCCTGTTTTCTTTCCAAAAAAAAAATATATATAAAATGTATGATTAAATTTGGTGCTGCTTTATCTGTAAGTAAATATTTACTGCCCCTCGCCTCGGGTTCTGCTTTCTGTGGCGTGGGAAAGCCACTCCCCAAAAAACAAAAAAAAAATGCACATAAAACAAATAATAAAAAATACATTTCGAGCAATTTAATTTGTTTAAACTTTGGGGAGGGGGGAAATTTCCAGATCCTCTCGTTAAATGCGTATATATATATATACATATGTATGTATATGCAAACAGAGTATTCAGAGTTTATATGCGTATATAAATGAATTTAAATAAATGAATCCCGTAGACAGTTTCAGATTACAGATTGAACAGATTCCGTATTACAAGTGTTGGCTTGCCAGTTAGCTATATAACCAGATATATACGATCCTCGCAGTAATCCGATCACATTGTGATAATCAGTCCAGAGTCAGCTATAGCGTCATCATGGCGTAATAATAAACGCGGTGATGCATGCTCTTGGTGGCGCGACCAACAGTCTACTTGGTCGGGGCATTATCATCAACGCCAACAGCCAAGAGACAGCCAGCACACGACACTCCGGACTCGTCCAGATAAGATGTCGCTTGAGGCCCGAAGTCACGAAGTGTAGTGCCAATCCGGCCAGGAAGTTGTGCCATAGCGCGAGAGCCCTAAACAGCGGACAGCGACAAGTCGAAAGCGCAAATAAAAGCGTGAAATCCGTAGAACGGAAATGCCAAGAGCATTGAATGGTGTTCCCGGGGCAGGGGAACCTGATTAACGTTGTGGGAGGTGCGACGGGTCTTATCTACGGCTCGTACTCGTCCAAATGATGACTGGGCCAAACACTTTGCTGTTGGTTAGGACCACCTTTTACTGGTATTTCTCTGATAAGAATTTAGGGGATCATCCAAGGGCAAGAGTACCTCTCCAAGAATTAGAAAGCTTTGGAAATACGAAATCTTCTGGCTACAAAGAACGATATTCGTGTATATTTTATATCAAAACTACACTTTTCCTGTCATTCAAAGAGTATTTCATGATTTATTGTCGATGTAATTTGATTCTTTGAGTACATTTTCCTACGATATCAGTTTCGATTCGTTAGGTAAAAAGCTACAACATATTGAAGGGTGTATAATGGATGACTTCATTATTGTGTATTATTCTTTGTGTATCGAAAGTCATAATTTGTGTTGTGTTTATATAGAAATAGGGTTTTGTGGAGCACTTTTTCACGGTCACTATGTGAGTAATTGCTGTTCTTTCGAAAAGGGTTCTACTTTTCAGTGGCTTGTTTATACGTTTTATTGTTAAAACTATTTAAGTGAAGGGACTTTTTTTTTATATTAGTTCTCTAACATTTGTTCCACGATCTGCAAAGTCTTTTCTGTTGTTCGTTCTCTATATTCTGTTATAGTAATCAATTTAAAGGAACTGAAATTATCTAAGATAATTTTAAATATGAAAACAAACGCTGAAAATATTTACAAATGCAGGGTGGAAGCAGACACTTTTGTCTCCAAAGACTGCTCCTAATCTAAAATAATACTATTAAATTCCTCCAGTGATACCTCATTCCGAGTCGCAGATTCATGTGCCAGATATAGTTGCTGGTAATGCTTTTCTATCTAAGATAATTTCTCCACATTCATCATTCGCGCGTCAGAAGACCCTGCAAATATCACTTGAGTATTAGTTTTATTTAATCTTCAGAGATTACTTTGAAGATTAGTTCCTTTTTTTTCTTAATTTAAACAAGTGCCTCGGGACTAAGCTATATGGTACTATGTTTCTATTTACACATATGTGATCTGCGTATGCATTCAGCCTAAAAGTATTTATGCTCTGGTGTTAATAGTTTTCAAAAGACATGTGTGCAAAGAGCCAAATGATAGGTGAGCTTTAACTTTTTTTGGTTCATTCTGGCTATAATAATGATCCGATTGAAACGAGTCGGAAATCTATTAGATATGATATTTCTTTTCATTTGTATTTTTTTTTTTTTGCAAATCATGGAAAAACACTTCCCTCTGGCCTTACTGAAACATTTCCAAACTGAACGCAATCGTATTGTTAAAAGTTCAATTTTTTTTGTTGCAGGAAATTGCGAATTGCATCTGTTTTGTGGTCCTTGAACCTTGCCGCTTTCGGCTGCTGTTTCTTGGGTACTCTGTGCCTCTCGCTTTGTGTCCCTGTTTTTGTTTTTATTAATTATTACAAAAACAATTAAGATCTTCAAATTAACAACTTTAATTTGCAGTTGTTGTTTTTGTTTCTTGTTGTTGTTGCTTCTGTCATTATTTCGTATGCTTAATTTTTTAATGATCGCTGCTCTGTTTCTGTGTTGTTGTTTTCTTAGTGCAAAACGGTTCTACAACACAACTCATTAACTCATTTTGTTAATCATTTACTGGCGTTGCAAAGTGCTGCAGCGCGCCACGCCTCCTCGTACTTGCGCGCCCCCATTAGCATTTAAGTTTTTATAATCAGCTGTTTTCCGAAGGTCTCTCCCTCTCTCTCCCGTTCGAAATTAGATTGGGATTTTGATTGTTTTATGGTTGGGTTTTTGTTGCTGTTCTTTCCAGAAGGCTGTCGAAAGTGTGTCCATGAAATACATTTGGGTAGGCACAGACTGAGGCAGAAAACATCAGAAATAACAATCGAAACTGCATTTGAATTGCTTTTGTGTGGAGTTTTTAGTTGCCAACGGAAATGGTTTGGTATATGATTAATGTGGATGAAAACAGGATCGAGCGACGCTTCGTTAAATAACTCTAAGCCGCTTTCTATTCCATCTCGAATCTAGATATATGTAAATGTATCTTTCCGTAGCGAATAATCTATTCGTTTTGGGGAAATCTCACTTCCACTTCCGTTAAGTGTTAGAAAAACTTCTTCCGATTATTCATTTAGTTCTAAGAAATCTAATCGTAATTCCACGAAATCGATGACTTCAATTAAACGAATCGATGACGTCTTTCCATGACGTGATCCTAAGTTTAATCAATGTACAAATTATTCAACAGATCGTATCGCCAATGAGTGAATACCCGCAAAAGTGTTGTTTGACTTAAATAAATGATATGTCGGTAAAGCGCTTTATATTAGAATATTACAATTACATATGCACGTAATCTTATAGTTAAATATAAATAGTTTGCCATTATTCTGGTTTTTTATTGTAGTAAATCTTGTACTTATAAAACGGTGAATAAGGGATTGGAAAATGTGGTTTGGTTAGCACGATAGAGACACTCCGGAAATGGTAGATCAGTCTATGCGTGTGTTTATGGAAGCTAATATATATAGAAATAAGGATTGGAAAGTGACAAAATTATAAATTAATTAAATTTTCTAATAAATTTAGTTATTCTATGCATATACTCATTCTAAATGTGTATATGTATCTATGGTGGGATATGTAAATATAACATAAACAAATATTGAATTAAATGTGGTGGCTATTCCTAATGGATATCCCACATTAAAAACGACACAAAATCTAGTCCAAATCTGTTTAAGACTCAGGAATTAATTAGGAAATATGGCTTTTGGTTATAATTAAAGTGAAATCCTGTCCAAAGATAAGCGCTTGCAATATTCTCGCGCCCATTTCCGTTTCCGTTTCGCATAAAAACTCAAAAAGTGAACCCCTTAACCCATGGTAACCCATAAAAAATTAACCCACTCGCGTAGAATGGTAACCTAATCAGTGCACAATGTTGGCCTAGAAGCCAGTCGCCTGGCAAATGGCTTAACAACAACAGCAGCAACAAAAGCAGGCCATCAACCCTCTCAACCTTGATGTTGACTGTCGACACTTCTGGCCCGTCCGTACGTCCGTTCAGTGGGAAGGGGGACACAGGGCCAAGCAAGGCGCGTCGCCAGTCAAGTCGGAAGGCACTCAGACACACGGCTCTTATCGCTCCTCCCGCAGAGTGTGAGAGAGAGAGAGACGAGACGAACGAGGATGAAAGGCGTGGAGTGGAGAGAGTGAGAGGATCGTATCGTACCTAATGGCAGCGACATATTTTCGGCTACCTACCGCCCGGGGCTAATGGAAAAGGATCTCGGATCTCAGACTCGAATCGGGGACGACTGCCTAATAGATGCATTTAGCACGCGCCCAAATGCATCTCAGAGATACATTAACTGCGGCAGAGCAAGACAGGAGAGCAACAAATGGTTGCTGCCTCTGAACCTGTCTGAGGCTTCCCTCTCCCCTTCTCCCTCTCTCACTCTCTCACTCACTGAAACACTTCATCGGTGTGCGGGCATCTGTGTATCTGTGTGTAAAAACCCCGTGATGAGTCATCCGCATGGCGATGCGTGGCATACATAAATCCAACATGTGCCCCCAAGCCTCCGCCCCCCTCCCGCTACCAACAGACTGAGTGGGATACCACTTCAAAGCGAGAATGAGATGGAGAGACAGAGAGTGAGAGAGACAAAA